ATTAGCATAAGACCCTAATCACCCCCCCTCTAGGGTCTAACAAGGAGAAGTGTGGTATTTATAGGAAAATGTGTAAAACGTGCAAAATAAAATATGGAGAAGTAAAAAAAATGCACGTCGTGGCGTGTGTTATGCGAAGCTCACCCAATACAAAACCTAAAACACTACTCAAAGCCCAATAAGAAGTGTTCCAATATAAACTCTTTACTATTCATCTCAATTTCTAATGTGAGGCTATTCACAAAAGTAAAATTGTCTTTTCATGAACAACATAGCCAACAAAAGGCAATTACCTTACTACACCTCTAGGCTATTACAGGTTACGTACATGTAATGAGGCGGAGTGAAATTCTCATTCCTACTTTCCCATTTAAGCATATCAATATTCAATACACGATATTTTTTTTCAAAGTTAAAATTGTCATTTCCTAGCTAGAAATGTTAAAATTGTCATTTCCTAGCTAGAAATGCCCATTCGCACCTTTTGCGGGAAATAAGCATTCCTTTGCTAAGACATGAGCATTCACACTCAGCCAATAATACAAAATTTTAGAAACTTCTAAAAACATTTGATTCCCTATAATGAGAAAGAAGAAGAAGACGGTGAAAGAAAAGGGAAAGTGGAATATTATCCTAAATTCAAATCAATCCAAGGTATAAACCCTTCCCCTCCTTGTTTTTCTTTGATTTAAGGAATTGATCTTTGATGTCTTAAGAAATTGAGGAAAAAACCATCAGCGAGAACCTCGTCGTCGACCCCAATCGCTGGGGGAACCTCACCCTCAGGAAGTCACTCCGATGGCGGAACACAAGGCGACCATGCCGAGTAGCTGCGGGAAAAAAAGAGAGGGAAATGAACGCGAAAAAAATAAGAAGAGAAACGGGGAAGAAAGAGATAAAGGAGAGAGAAAAGGGGAATTAAAGTGAAATATTAAATTTTTTTGGGACCCGTGAAAGTTTATTAGTTTGTATATAGGTCCACAAGATAAAAAGGAATGAAAATATTCTTGTAGACCCCTGTTACTTTGTTGATTGCTACCGGATCCAAAAGATCCAAGCTCAGTTAGGAATTAAGCTCGAATAATTAATTGGAATCCCCTGAGTTGTGCCATATATTAATAATAAGTTTAAAATTATTAGAATAATATCATAGAAAAGTATGGTAAATTGCTAAAATTAGCAAGAAAGCCTATGTGTACCTTTATAGATAATTATATTTGAGTATACTTGAATATGATTGATTTTAAACTTTGTAGTGATTATCCTATAATATGTACTTGTCCTGAATTAATATTAATCTTATATGTTTATATTATAGGTTCAGGTTGATATCTGGAAATGTAGTATTTTGAGGAAGCTGTACTCATTGGAAATGAGTTCATTTCTCACTAGTATTTTTTCTATATAATATAAATTTTGCATGAGTGCTATATTTGATTTGATTTTGTGCTTGAAAAATAAATAATTTATTATTTTTGTGTATATATAAAGTTAAATGTGATCCGATCTATTTTATTATGACATAACCTATAATATGATTTGATTTCATACAATATATTAAAAGTAAATTAGATTTCACATAAAATGTGATAAGTGGTTTTGGTTTCATGTAAACTCAATTAATTGTAAATGATGCTTATGTGAAAGCTTTTGAAGAAAAAAAATTGAAGGTGTCGCAACAGCTTGTGGAGTCAAATATTTTTTTTGACTTAGTATTTAATAAAAATAGAAAAAAGTGAAATTTGTAAATTGTTTTAACTGAGATGATAAGATTTACGCTCGTCCACTCAATTTAAAGTATTTGTAATTTTAGAAAGTGAACATACCAATAATATTTTTGGCACAAATGACGTGTTTTGAAATAAAATGATTTGACGAGTGATGTGGTTTTGGAAACAACCAAATTGATAAGTGATATGTTTTGCAACAAATAATTTGACAAATGACGTGTTTCCGAAAATCAAGCTATTTAACAAGCAATTCTTGATGTTTTCAAACACTCAGAAAGTCCACTATGGAGTGGTGTGTTTGTGCCTGTCATATGATTAGAATACACCTTTATGTGGCTCATTATAGGTATGTGACCTTCTAGCATTTGTGATGTGGGCCTTTTTGGGCGTTCGTGATATGTCTAGCAGCCTCTGGTAGAGATAGGTGCATTCTGCTCTCGAGAACTATATGTTATGTGATGCCTTTTTGGCATTCATACTACTAGGCTATAAATCGTATCCTTAGTGAGACATATGAGGTGATTCTTGTATTTCATGAATGTTCTCATGCTACTAGGCTATAAATCGTATCCTTAGTGAGACCTATGAGGTGATTCTTGTATTTCATGAATGTTCCCATGCTACTAGGCTATAAATCGTATCCTTAGTGAGACCAATGAGGTGATTCTTGCATTTCATGAATGTTCTCATCGAGATCTGAGATTTTGAGATTTGAGTGTGAATCTGAGAAAATAATGATATTTTGCCTTTACACAAATTTAATAGTTCATTTTCTTTCTTAGTAATTACTTATTTTGAAAGAGAGTTTGATTTTGGAATATGATAGGGTATAAATGATAACCAAAAGTTGTAAGTGCATAAATATCAAGTTATAGTATAAAAAGTTATCGATCCTACGTGGAAGGTGTTTGTAAGAAGAAATTAAGATTGGTTCTTATGTTGAGGAGTGGTTGTGAATATATGCAAACAAAAAAAAATGAGGAGAAAAAGAAATCAAATGAAATAAAGAGGAAGGAAATAATGAAAAATCAAGACAAAGAGGAAATTCAAAAAAGTAAAGATGGATGATTCAATTAAAAATATGAGGAATATAGAATTAAATCAACTAGCTAATTTTAATTATAAATTATAAACCATTCTCTTTGTATCACATTTTACTTTAGATTTATTAAGTATAGACTACCAAACCACTTAAGGAAAGCATAACCTATCAAATTATCATATATGCAAAATTAATATTCATGAAAAGAATAATAACTAGATAGTAATTCTAGAATTCATCAGCATAATCTATCAAACCACTCAAGATAAGCATAGGTTATCGAATTCTTCTTCTACTAATTAGTTCTCTATTTTATTATCCTACACATGATTATTTTAAGCATAAGAGAATAATCCACAAACTATAAAAGAAATTAGGTTAGTTTCATACAATTCTAGAATTCCTACAAGAATTAGTTTCACATGTTAGGAAATGAAAATAAGAAATAAAATCTATACTAGAGAAGAATAAAAGAAAAGATTGAAAATAAAAACTAATTACAAAGAAGAGAAATGAGAACAAAGAAATTTACACTATGAATATAGAAATAAATCTAACTAAATTGTAAAAGAAAAGAACATAAATGAAGATCTAGATTATGCAAGAAAATAAATCTACTCTACAAAATTTAAAAAACAAGATAATAATGAAAGAAATAAAGATAAGAAAATAAATGTACTCTACAAGGCGTTAATGTAAATCTAAACTACTACAAAGAAATAAAAATAAAATAGAAAATTTACATTACAAGAGGGTTTAGCCTCTTGAAAGCAAACCTTTAAATTGATCTTTATTTTCATCTCCATCTTCATCTTCATCATCAAACAAAGAGAAGAAAATAAAAATATAAAGAGGTGGGAAAAGAAAATAAAAATATAAAGAGGTGGAAAAAAATCTTTTTATTAATTACAACAAAAAGTTACAAAATTGAAAGGTCTTCTCAATTAAGCGTAACTCTCCTACAAAATTTTTCACACCCTCAACCCCTCACTCTCTCTATCCCTATTTATAGTCTACAACAATGAATGAGAGCCATTGGATTAAACTTGATCCCCAAGCTAATCAACTTCAGCCCTTAATTCCACAACAGTAATCACGCATCGATACCGGTATCGATAGGGCCATCGATAGCGAGTCATTTCTGATTTTCTCTTGAGCTTGGACTCTTGGACTTTTATGAGAGATGAGATATTAAGTTGTTCGTAGGCTTTTATTCATTAACCTGAATACGTTTATTAGTGACAAATTTATTTAAATTAAATAGATAATAGGGGTATAAAATGTAATAAAAATATGATTATCAGAATACGTTAGCATGATTCTGGAATACGTTACGATATATTTAACTTACAATTTCTTTCTTGAATATAGCAATAATATATTATTATTGGACCATATTTTGCTATTTTCCTAAAATATCCCGTGTCAACTTACAATTCACTATTTATAGGAATTATTAGATTTTTCTTAGATATCTAGGATCACTAGTGGGAAATGTTCTCACTGAGCTTTAGTTCACTCTGTTGTTTTTTAATTTTTTACAGATCTGAAATAGAAATGTGATAATCCAAATTCTTAGCTGTGGGCATGGTTAAGAAGTGCTTATTTGGAAACTCGACTCCAGTGGTGTTATGTTCAGCAAAAAGAGTGTTTTACGTTGTAAATAATTATAACGGTAAGACTGTGAAATGTAAATAACGATTATAAGTATATGTATAGTTTGTTTTGAGTTACTATCTTCAGCAGGCTTATGTATATGGTTTGAGTTAAGCTACGTGATATAAAGTATTAGGCTTGACTCGTGCATGAGACTTGTCTTGTGCGTGGGTCGCTGCTGTCTCGTAACCATTTATGAAATTTCACTGTAGTTTTCGGGGCGTGACAAAGTATTTGCCAAACACACCCTTCACCCTTAAGAAACTAAAAATTGCCCTCACAAGTCACAACTAGCAATAGTTTAAACTCACGTGACAGACGATCATGAAAAACCTTTGGGGGAAAAAAATTCACGTGCCTTTCGATCATCTTAGTTTTCCATCCGAACTATCGACAGGATTTTGGACCCGGCCCAGTACAGAACTGGAAATAAGTATTTGGGCCTCAGCCTAAGCTTATCGGGCAGCCTAAGCTTATCGGGCTGCTAGCCTTATCAGATGCGGATCTAAACATGTAAACCACCCGACCGGTTTCCATTATCCCATTAAGAACTCTCTCTCTCCAGCTTCGTGCCCTCGAAGAAAACCCTCGTGTTAAAAAAACACTACCCCCAAACTGAGGATCAAAGAAACCCTAAAAAGTCCTCACAAAATACCTTAAAAAATCCCCGAAAAATGTTTCGAAACCAGTACGACACGGACGTGACCACGTGGTCCCCCGCCGGCCGCCTGTTCCAGGTGGAGTACGCGATGGATTCCAGGTGGAGGAGGCGATGGAGGCGGTGAAGCAAGGAAGCGCCGCCATCGGGCTCCGATCGAAGACCCACGTCGTGCTCGCCTCCGTCAACAAGGCCTCGTCGGAGCTCTCGTCGCATCAGAAGAAGATCTTCAAGGTCGACGATCATATCGGGGTCGCGATCGCGGGATTGACCGCGGACGGTAGGGTTTTGTCGAGGTATTTGAGGAATGAGTGCATCAATCATAAGTTTGTTTATGAGGATCCCCTGCCGGTTGGGAGATTGGTCGTGCAGTTGGCTGATAAGGCTCAGGTAATTCCCTGATCGTTTTAGGGTTTTTTTTTTAATTTAAATTTTTGATGATGTGGAGTGTTTGGATCTGGGGTTAGGGTTTGTTGCTAGGGTGAGGTGCTTGATGAATTAGGGGTGGATTTAGGGTTAGGGATCTTAAATTAAGTTTCTTTTACTTATCAAATTGTTGAATTGTGGTTGCATTTGATAGTTTGCAAGCTTTTTAGACTTTTTGATTGGCCAACAAGGTTCAGATAATTCACTAGTTCGATAGTTGTAGTGTTTTCTGTGACTTTTGTTGTTTTGATGCTGTAGGATGTTTGGATCTGGGGATTAATGTTGCTGCTAAGTAGAGGTTTTGATGAATTGATGGTTGCTGTAGGGTGTTTTTTTCTGACTGTATAGTTCTTTTGTGTGTGTTCTGAATGGCGGTTTCTATTTATAGGTGGCAAGTTTGTTAGCTTGTTTAACTTGGGTTGTTAAATTGGGGTTGTGATGAGGATGGGTTAGAGAAGAAAGGATTTATGACTTTCAGATTTTGACAATACCTTTGAGATTAGGGTTTTGAAACTTTGTAGTCATGAATTTCTAGGCTTTGTGAGCTGCATGTGTGATTGGTAGCAATCGGGTTAGCAATCTCTTTGGTGCAAGATTGGAATTTTAGTTGTGGATCTAGTCTTCTTTTAAATGGATATATGCATATATCTTATCTTCCTTAGAATTGGGGTTCAGATAATAGTAAGTTAGGAAAGAAGGGGTTTACATCTATGTGGTTTTCACTTTCCGAACTCATCTTTTTGGTCCTTCGATTAGGGTATTTTAGCATGTATTTGGAAATCGGTAGTTGTATGTCTGTAAGTTAGTGCTATTTGAATATTAGGCTTGCAAAGATCCTGGATTGGACTTGTTTCTTTTACCTGAACTTATCGGTCACCATTTGGAACATTGTAGTTGTCTTGGATTTTTTTAGTGCCCTGATTTCAGCTTATTGAAACAAAGAGATTGTTTTTAGCTATGGTGAACATTAGAGGTTACTCTTACATGAAGCTATTGAATAAATACTGATTCTACGACGTTCATTCACAGCTGTTGCTTTGGAGATTGAGAAGTTTATTATTGTTGATTAATGATTTGTTCTAGTATGAGCATCGTACTTTCAACGGTTCCAATTGCTCTTAATCTTTAGCTTTCTTATATATATTTATTTTAGCAGTTCATATGAATTGGCAGATGATATCGTGTTCTATTGCCATACTATGAATTGTGAGGGTCAGGTGGTTAGAATTTAGGCAGGGGTGAAGGAAGCAGAGGATTTTGATCCATTTACGTATAGAAGCTATCAATATATGCGGTTTCTTAATTCCTTGAAACTATAATGTCTCGTTTGGTACGTGAGAGTTGAGTCGAATGAGAATGTAATGGAATTAGTGTGGGAATGAAATGCTCATACCCTTTCTCACATTTGGCTGCCATTAGAGAATGAAGTGGGAATGACAATCCTTTTTATTTTTAGTACGAGTAATTAATAATGCATATTTAGAATTTATTTCAAATTATTGATTCCCATTGCAGCGGGAATGACTACCCCCTACCATTGGGAATGCTTATTCCCACATAAAATGGGAATGAACGAGAAGTTGGAATGGGCATTCTAGCTATTAAAAAGGTGAATGAGAAGTTGGAATAGCCGAATAGACATTCCATTTCCACTCATTTCTACTACCAAATGATGCGTAAGAAACCTAAGGAATAAGGGCAAGATTTTTTTTCCCTTTAGATTTGTTGTATACTGTAGTGTGCACATTGAATAATTCCAAGTTGTTTTTAGCTACAATAAAAAGGAGAGGCTTCTAGATCTATTTATCCTTGTTGCAATCCTCAGCATGGTGGATTTTCATATTTCAATATGTTTTCTATCATAGAATTGCTATATTACTATATGGATTTTGTTGCTTACTTTTGTTTCTTGTATTTTAGGCTCTAGGTCGTAATGCCATAGCATGGACTAGAATGCAAGACCTGCCAAAACCTATCTCTACCCCAAATCCTATACCCCTAACACAAGTTCCACTGTCAAAGATGAAGTGGCCTTGATAGAAACATCATTTGATGATCAATTTAGCTTGAGCTTAGGGATTTATTTACAATGTTGTGGTATGTGATGATTTTATAATCTGTCCCTCCTGATTGTCGGCTATGTAGCATTAGTATCTTGTTTGCTGAACCTTTAGTTGAAGTGCTAGTAATGTTTTTGACGATCAGTCTATCTGTGATTTAAACTGTTTTCTTGTGATACTTTGTTAAAGATATTTATAATTTGGATATAGTCCTTCTGAATGTTTTGTAATGATAACTAGCTGTAAATGATTCTAAGACGGGAAATAAGTTTGGCTTTGGACTTCCAAAATTCAGGGCCGCATGGGTGGGCCAAATTAGGTTATAGATGGAGTATGAATTGTGGAAAATAGATAGTTTTGCAGTTTAATTTGAGAGAATGAGGAAACAGAGGTGCTTAACACTTGTGGAGACTGGCTTCTGTTTATCTACCCTATCAAGAGAGTTTGAAGCATCGACATGGAAAATTTGTAAACAGCAAAATAGAACATTATATATGTAAAATTTTGTGTAAGAATTGTCACTATTGTAATTTCAAGTAAGTAAATCCGAAAGAGTGAGTTAATCTGTGTAGATCAGCTCGAAAGACAGAATATGAGGGGGTTCATAAACTGTATGTGTTCACGTGCATTGTTTTCTCTTTATTTTTCCATCACTTTTGTATTAGGAAGTTCTAGTTAGAGCAAAGATGGCAGACTATGGCATTTTAGAGGGAAAAAATGCAGAATTATTCGACTTTTGAAAAATATTGCTATATTACCAAGCTGGAAGCTAATAAATCAGTTAAAAGAGGTTAAACCTAAAGCTCATAACAATTTACACTAGAAGAAAAACACTAGGGAGAGAGAACAATATGTGAGAATTCAAGTGTACAGGAAGAAAAAATAAGGTAAAATCTAGGTAATGTTAGCGTTTTATTTCAGAGGAAGGGTTATTAGCAAAAGGAAGAAAAGAGGTGAATGAATTTTTTTCATCAGTTGGTGCACAGAAGAATTAAGTAAGGATAAATGGCATGATCTAGGTAAAATCCGCTGTAGATCTGAGTTACTCACTCGTGGGATCCAAACTGTCTGGAGAGACCATCGTGGATCCCCCCTCCTAGAGAATCATTATGGATAGCTATCCCTTAGTCACAGAATTGGGTTTGGCCATAATAGGAAAACAGTTACATCCCATTTTGGTGTCTGGACAGCTATCTCTTAACCGCAGGTTTGGGCTTGGCCATGATAGGAAAACGGTTATATCCCATTTTGGTGTCTGGATAGCCATCTCTTAACCACAGATTTGGGTTTGGCCATAATAGGAAAAAAGAGCACTCGCCAACAACCCTTTTGAATATTCTCAACATGTAGCTTCCAAAATTGGTCAGTCGACTAGCTTATAGTGATGTATTACTGCTTACCTGTCTGGTAACGCTTGTTCATGTTTGGTCCATTATGCTTGGACCTGGAGATGGGGTTTTGTTTCGATTCAAACTCAGGCAGCTAAGGGAAGTGTATCAGATAACAAAGCAAAACTTGTAGCCCTTTATTTGAAACGTTGAGGGAGTCCCCAATCCTTGTGTATTTCATACTATAGCCTTATCATCGAATAGTTAATGCAATGACAGTGTTGTTCACCCAGGATGATAGTTTGTTTGCCTATAGTTATTTTAAGGACTAGACGGCATGCCATGCACTTTCCTGATCTCAAGATAAATAGCCGCCTGTTGAACGACTTTCCTGGTAGCAGTTAATTGAAGGCAAATCAAATTGCAATAGCCCTGAGCAAATAATAATGTGTGCTGGCATCGGGAGCCGAAATGGATCAAATTTTTTTATGCTGAATGTACCTGATTATCCAATGTTCTTGTGTTTTACACTAGGCGCTCGTAAACTAAAGAACGATGATGAGCTTTAAGGTATTTCAGTATATGCAAAACTACTGCAGTTTGTATGCATGTCTTTAGGACATCTAATGATCTCTCTTTAGAATTTTGAGCTTTTACAATGCCCTACTTAAGGAGAACTTCAGAAAAGCATTATTCTCAGTCACTTGCTTTATATTCCCTACAGTTTGGATGACATATAACCTGAACTGATTTTCAAGAGGGACAAAACTTGAAGATACCAAAATGCCATTATCCATTTTTTATCCTTGTCAATTGTAGGTTTGCACACAACGCTCTTGGAAGAGGCCCTATGGTGTAGGCCTCCTCGTTGCAGGTCTCGATGAATCTGGAGCTCATCTTTACTACAACTGCCCAAGCGGAAACTACTTTGAATACCAAGCATTTGCCATTGGATCCCGCTCCCAAGCTGCAAAGACCTACCTTGAGAGAAAATTCGGGAGCTTCTCTGATTACACTCGTGATGAACTAGTCAAAGATGCGCTCTTTGCCATCAAAGAGACATTGCAAGGAGAGAAGCTAACGAGCTCCATATGCACCGTTGCTGTTCTTGGGGTTGGCGAATCATTCCATGTGATCGATCAGGGCACTATTCAGCGGTTGATCGATTCTCAAGAGATCGGGGATGAACCTGCTGCAGCTGCTGGTGATGCTCCTGCAGCTGATGCTGCTGGTGAAGAACGAGGTGGAGCTCAGGAGGGAGAGGCTGCACCAATGGATATCTGAGGTTTCTATGATTATGTGGTTCGATGTACGTCCGGTTATGAATTTCTATGCTTGTTTCCTGACAACATGAACATTAGTCTGAAAATCCAGTTGATAGGAACATTGTGGTTTATTTTGGAGGAAAGGGGGAAACTTGTGGCTCTTAAAATGGGTGATTTCTTTTGGGAAATCCGCTGATGTGTTATAATGGGATTGTGATGTTTGTTATTTCGAACTCAATATGATTGAAATTGTTAGCCTCGGCCTCGGAAGTTTGAACCAATAAGCCTCGCCAGTGTGCCTCATTTCAGGCTAGTAAAATACACGACCTGTTAAAATGTGAACAGAAGATAGTTTCTCTGTTTCTTAATGTTAGCGTTGGGAGCGGAATTGAAATTTTGTCACATCGTACTACTCCTTTTGTATGTTGCAGTCTTACAACCATTTCTTGAAAAGTAATTCTTCAGTATGATGGACGGCTGAAATCTGAACCAACACCCACAAACACATTAGCGTGTAGGGGGAGAAATGCATCTTAAAATTTGCTGCACCTGAGTTTTATGGGTATAAAGAATTTCAAGCATCACGTTCTTATTAAGATGTAGAAAGCAAAGGCCTCCTCTTGTTCGCGCGACAGTGTGCGCAAATGTTGATTACAACACCACAGAAGAGACTTATTACTAGAAAACAGCTACCCTTTGTGATGGCACGGCAGCTTATTATCTGTAGGCATAAACCAGTCGTATTTGCCTCCAAAATGCATTCGGGTTATATGTGTTCACTGCCTCAAGCATTCAACAATGTAGGACGCGTAAAGATCCCTGCGTAAAATTATTGTTAAACTTGAAGCTTATGTGAATTATCGCACGAAGGGGGAAAAATGTAAAACCAAGGGGAAAACGTACATAGAGTATTGTATCGCTTTGATGGCATCTTCAGCGGGGAGGAAGTCCTCAACAGCCACCTTTTTGTTCTCATTCTTCTTATCTGTAGTTACCATGAGTTAAGGAGGAGTTCACATAAAACTGAAAATAGAAATTGTACAGTATGTGTAGTGGATACAATCTTCAAAGAAGCGGCGGATCTCTTGAAGCCGATGAGGAGGAAGCTCTTTGATGTCTCTGTAGTGACGGAACTCAGGGTCATCAGCACAAACAGCTATTATCTTGTCGTCCCTCTCACCCTGGAAATCATTGTACCGAACTAGGAACTCAGTCTCTTAAATGGTGTCCGCTAAAACGAAAAGCCAAAAACAGACTTTTTTGTGTTTTTTTTAATATGTAAAGTTATTATAATGGCAACTATTAGCGAGATTTTAAGTTGGAGATGATAAGGACAATTTGGCTCGTGTCCTTAACGATGAGGCATCTTCTCTTGAACTTTAAAGTATAAAGCACTTTATTTGTATTAAAAATTTTGGTAAATATTATAGAACCTCTTTCTTGTGTTTTGGATAACATTCTCTTAAANGCAAAAACCCTTGAACTACTGGAAATTGTCATAAACATTAATATAAAGGGTAAAAAGTCTGAACTGCCCCAGTTACTATTTACCCGTACCCGAAAAAAACTCTATTTCAGTAAAAATGAAAAAAAGTACTTAAGTGAGACAAATTATTAGGGGGTTTTCCCTGATTTATAAACTACATACAATGTACCGTGCATTCCACTATTTTGAGTTACAACTTAAAAGCGAATAAATTGGGACGCCCAATTCCACTGCAACACTATCTTAGAATCAGAATTCACATTGTACACTGTCATGTCATGTGACACCGTTGTGTGTTTTCTCTGTGGTCACTCGTGTGTTTGCCCAATTGTATGTATGATTGGTAACTATATTCAACTGCGTAAAATGATAAATCATCGTTCAAGTGTATGTTTATGACCCAAGATGCGAAATGCACTATGTTAAAGGGGATTTTATATACCCTTATGCACTTTATCATACTAATGATATTTTTCCTTGTAATTAGAGTGTGCAAAATACCCCAAAGTTCAGGGATATTTGCAAAATTTAACCTAAAATTTTGTATGGCCATACACGTATGCAAATGCCACTGTAGCACAATGATAAAACCTCTTTGCAATGTGAAAGAGGTCTACGGTTCATATCATGCTTGCACTGCACTATGATCTATTCTCCGAAAATGAAAAAAATGGAATAAAAAACTTGCCTGATCGATCATGGGCATCAATCCAATGGCACGGGCACGCAGAAAGGAACCAGTAAGTACGGGCTCCTGCATGCGGGAAGGAACTAAACTATAATACATGTTCAGAAAACATGAACAACTTTTAAAAGAGAGAATACCTGCATTAGTACGACAACGTCCATTGGATCACTGTCTTCACAAATAGTTCGGGGGATGAAACCATAGTTGTGAGGATACACAACAGAAGAGTAAAGAACGCGATTCACCTGGTTTGAGTTTATCCATAGTTTAATATAAGTCAGGGAAAGGAAATGTTGATATAATCATTATTCTGTGTGGCGTATTCATTTATAGTTAGCAATAGTGGAATTATAGGATTCGTTTTTCATATGCAGAGAAAATCCTTCAAAACTTTTCTTTGAAATTCTATTACTAGTATATGATATGAATATTATATATTTTATCCATTTTCACTGCTGTAGTGAAGAACCCAGCGACTATAGGATCTCATTTACTATTCAACATGAAATCCAAAAGCAGAAAATAAAAACTCGTCACCTTTTAAGCTGATCTTAGTATTACTGTTTTATCTAATAATTTCATTGACAACAGTTGCAGAAGTATTTATGTCCACAAAATTGTGATGTCACGTTTGTTTTTTAGGATAGTGAGGGTACTATTTTAAAATAATCCAGACCCACCTTTTTAACTCATGTTTTTTTAATTATCCAGCCTATACTATCTTTTAAGGAAGGACTACTTAATCCCTCAAGAGGGGAATAAGATATACTCACCCCACTGCCTACCTCTATAGTTCAGGTCTTAATCATCTAGGGGGATTAAGAATTTCTAGCAAAAATATCCCCATCTCTTCAATTCCACCGACTTTCATCTGAAATTTTATTCTAGTGGTCCTTTTTTCCTAGTTATTTTGTTGTTGCATTATTTTCAGAGGAAACTCAAAGGTAAGCAAATTAATTATGCCCGAATATTTCTCGCTCCAAATGTCACAGCAAAGTGCACTGATGCCATGGCTGTATAGCCTTCCCTTGTGACTTAGCAATGATCCATGATGTACCCTTATATCCCCCATACATAAAAGGGATGATCTTATCATATATCAATGGAATCAATGAATGCTTTGGCGAGCTTTCTCGTTAACATAATAATTACAATAGCATATACTTATTTGGATCCAATCTTTTAACCAAGAATTTCTTATGCTCTTCCTGCAAGCAGATGTACACATCTTGGAAGGAAAGATTTTTTTTTCCTAGGCCATATTTTGGTGTCTTTATCTTCCAGCAAAAAGGAAAAAAGGAAAAAGAAAGTAGAGAGAATAGCATTAAATACAATATTCATCCGAAATCGTACATCATCGTTCCGAAATTATATCATGACAGATATAGGATGACAAGCCTATCTTTTAGAGAAGGTCATGTCCAAATTTAAATTTTTTTACCAAACAGACGCATAAATATAATACTAGTTGCTTGTGGGCATTAAGGGTCCTTCTGGTTATAATCTTAGACTGAACAATCATCATTAAGGGTCCTTCTGGTTATGATCTTAGTCAGAACAATCATAATCCCAATAAAACAAACACTATTATAGACTATTTTAAGTTAGCCCGAATGCTAGTCCGTGCAAAACCAAATATTAGATTGGACTAAAATAGTCCCAGGATAACACAATTTAAGTATTACAATCTGGGGATTACAATACCCCCTAGTCCTAGGATAAAAAACAAATGTGGCCTTAGTTTTAAACACATTCATTTTGATCTAATTTACTGCATGACAAATAATTATATATTGTGGTTCAAAACATTGTATAGCAAATCATACAACCATTTACACAGAAGAGCTTAATAAACATAATGTTCTAACCTTGATAAGACCACTTGGCTTGTCGAGCTCATATTTGACCTTGCTGCCCTTGCCAATTTCAATAACCTGCAGCATTTGGCCATGAACCAACACTTTGCTTGGTAAATTTTTAACCCATATAACTTTCCAAAGCATATGAACTATATGAAGTTTTCTTCACAATAACAGAACAAAAACATGGACTCCTAAAAGAACAAAATGCTAAGAAATCCATTGAAACAATCTTCACTATTAAAATTATGATAATTGTGTCAGAAAACTGTAAAAAGGAAAGTATGAGCAAGAATACAAACCAACTAAAGCAATATTTAAATTAAGCAAGAAAAATCGTAGAACATGGGAATCAAATCTGGTATAATCCTAATATAGATTTAATTATGCATGTAGGGGATTGTTATGTGATGAAACTTATAACACTTATACAAAAGGCTTGGGTCACTTAGAAACTCACACTATTGAAGACTGCTGGAGCACCAGGTCCTGCATCAAATAAGAACTCAAGATAAGCAAACACTTCTATTTACTAGTGATCATGGACCAGAAAACTAAGTACACCACGTAAAAACCTCGAAGTGGTTATATTTCTAAGTATATATTAAAAAAAACCTAAATGGAAGGTAATAGACAAGAAATATTTTGTGAATAAATTTTCAAATTGTACCTATTTCTAGATCATGCCAAGGATGAGCAGCTACTGATTTCTGTGACATGGAAGAAAGGATTCTCTCATTGAGCTTAACATGAGGAAAACTCGAACCACTCATGTTGGGCTGCAAAAACATAAAAAGAAAAAGAAAAAAAAGCTATATTAGGAAAACTAATTAACAAGAGCTAATATCAATATTAGGAAAAACTGATATATTTTTCTATAGAATATGTGTCTTTAATTCTAAAAGTTGGTTAGCTTGAGGATTAGGTATCTTGCTTAAATTTTCACAGGTAATTTGTACTTGGATCCTAAAGAATCCATTTATACACCTAACAAACCGAAATTTGATTGACGGATTTGCGCTTGCACCATTAGCTATGGAGTATCGTACGATTGCCATGATCGAAACCAAAAATTCTTCACACTAGTAAAGGATGATTCTTCGTGTCTAACAAAAACATTATTTCATGAACTAGCCTTGATTATGGGCAGTTTAATTACTTCATAAGATATGAGACAATTAACTCATTTCTCTACTCTAAACACTAGTAATTAGCCAACAACTGCACTAACTAAATAAAAGTTCAGTTTGGTTGCATATGATACCAAGAAGAATTCAGAAGTAGACCTTTACAGGACTTGCCACAATGATCAGATAACTTCATAACATATATGCTGCAATGATAAACTAAACAAGTCCAAAAATTCCCCAAAAAAAGGAAAAAAAGAAAGAAAAATAAAACAAAAAGGTAAGCCAACTTCCACAACCTGATCAGTGATCACCCTTTGCTCTATTGGTTTTGATACTTTAAATCCCATCTCTAAATTCCCAAAAGAATACTATTTAACAAAGAAAATACCCATCAATTTCATCATTCAAAAAAAAAAAAAAATCAATTTTCTTGTGAGTGCCCAGTTAATTAGGCTTGATGGGCATCATCAAGATCACCTCGTGTTCAAACTTTCTTCACAAAAACATCATAAAAATTGTAAATTTGTTGAGAAAAAATTGACTTACTTTGATAGGAGGAGTAAAAATTACGGACAAGGAGATAACTTTGCCTCGGTTTGTGGGCAGCGTTTAGTTTTCAGGCGCCTTGTTTCCTTTTGCCTGTTGACGGTTGCTGTGGTCCGTCCGATTTTGACGATGGACGGTCGATATAGCTCCATCATAACGAACACGGACATATTCTTTCGCGGTTTAATTTATTTTTTTTAGTTTATAATGGTTAGAGATAAGATGAGCATATATGCCAATTTTTTTACGCTTTTCTTTTTCTTTTTAATTAATAAAAAACTGTAAATTGTATTATTTGTGTTGAAATCTAAAAGATATTTTGTTGATATCTAAAAAATAAAATGTATGTGAACATTACTTTGTATGTGGTAGGGGTGGGCAAAAACCGAAAAAAACCGGTTCAACCGAAAAAACCGCCCGAAAAAGCGGACCGGTTAACCGAACCGGATTAAATGGATGAGAAGAAGACTCTAAACCGCCCGAACCGAATTAAACCGGTTTGGATCCGGTTTGAACCCCTGAACCGCCCGAAAAAAAACCAAACCGAATTTTCTAATTCGTTCTTTGTCGGATATTCATATTGCTCAAAATGGGAAGGACTTCGTCGTTCGGAATTCGGTCAAAATGGAAAGGACTTTTGGTTCGGACGAAGTCAGATGGAATAGCTTTCTTATTAGTGAGTCATCACTTGAACATGAAGCAATATAATTGCTCGGTAATTTGATTGTTATGTTTACATACATGTTTATATTGTATAGTTCCTTTTTCATTGGGCCTGCTAGCGTATATGCCCGCATTAAAATCGGTGAAACCTCATATAAGCTTTCAAATTCTACTAGAGGCATGTTAAGTTGTTTTCCAAGAAATGAAAGATAACCTTTTGATTATAGTTAATTAATATTTGAATGTTACGTAACCATATGTACTTGTTGATATGGTTTGCGCTCATTTCACTGATTTCGGTTTTTTGTTAGCTGTGGCAATGATGTTACTTCAAACAAGCTCCACATTTCATTGTTTGGGGAAAAAAGTTAAGTAGACAAAATGAACAAATAATGATACTTTATCAGAAATTAATATGCAATGATCTCAGGTGTGGACAGATTTTTGTGAAATAGTATTAATTCGGTCCAAAACCGAAACTGATCCGAACCGATCCGAATTTCGGTTGGGCCGAATATTCGGATGAAGGGAAAAAAATCTGGATCTGGATGAGAGTTTTGAGAATTCGAAAAATTCGGATTGGATCCGGATTGAGCTTAAAACCGATCCGAACCGAATATGCCCCGCCCTAGTATGTGGACTATTAATTTCATGTCCTTTTGTATTCCATCATGTATCTATAAATTGTACGATGTATGGAAATGGAATAGGGTGAATAAAAGATTACAATTTCTCTTCTTCTCTTGTCTCTTGTCTCTTGTTTCATTTCTTTAGTATATTACAACACGTTATCAGCACGAAATCTCTAGCTAATCGGTTCGTAATCGTCCGTTGATGGTAAGAGATATTTCGGTGTACATCTCTTACGAGGTAACAATTTCCACACTTACATTTCGTTTTTAAAGTAAAAGCGCACGTACAGAATGTGAAAACAAAACTATGTCCTTATTGCCCAAGAGCTTTGATGATTTTTTTTATTTTCACTTCTTTCTCATCACTAGCACTGAAATTGGCATATTCTAGTGAAATATAGCAATACATGGAGTTTGTAAAGTTTCTCAAAAGAATAGTTTATTAAAAACAGAAGCCAGTTCTATTTGGCACGCTAATTAATGAAGCACCTAATTTGCATGATTAAGCTAAAATATTTATGGTTGGACTTGGAGACCCATGTTATTGCTGGTATAGGTGGCCGCCACTCAAGGATGCTTGGCACCACCTTCATCACACGGGAAGGAGGTCTAAAGGCTATTATTGGATGCAAGAATTTAGCCCTAAGATTAGTACTACCCTACAATATTAATCATTTTTGTGTGTGACAATAAATTTTGGTAGTAATTTTCAAAAGGACAAATTTTCAAAACCAACCTATTTACAAATTTAATCACAGAAAACAACCCACTGTCTCTACTGGACATCCAACAAATTTAATGCCTTCAGAGAGGAAATTCAGTTTATATGAATATAAAAACCCAAACCAATTTTTGCAATTCTCTCTCAGTGTATTCTTAATTGGATAATTGTTTTAATCAATAAAAACTGAGTAGTTTATTCTACTATCTATTATCTGATCTTTAGTTGGTTTTGTTAGAGCTTTTTCTAATGTATTATCTCATCTAATAAACAAAAGTTCATGTAAATTAATTTTGTAATGCAATTTGCTCCTACACACGAACACCTGGTTGGAACTTTATTTCTGTTAATGGCTGAACCTCTTATTGGGATGATCCAAATGATTTTCTTTGAACTCTGTAACATAGGCTACATATACATGGCTAAAAAACGTAGAATAGACAGAGCATCAATCATGAAAAATTGTCATAATATATCAATTTGATGCTTTTGCTTTAAATATTCTATTTGCTTGCTTGAAGTAAAATCTAAGCCTCATGAAAACTTGAAATTAAGTTGTAGGTTTTTAAAGCTCATGTTGGCGTTCATAAGTGGTCCATTTTTTAATTGCTAATTGCACTGATTCTCCTTCTCCGTTGAAATTATGCAATATTAGTTTTCTATCCAAAATTGTCTTTGTGGTGTTTTGAATCTTGCCATCCAAAATTGTCTTTGTGGTGTTTTGAATCTTGCCAGAAGCAAACATTTGAAAGATAACATTTATGAAGATCTTTAGAAAAAGGAACCTGATAATTTTGGTGATTATATGAATATTTCTAATTTCTCATGCACTAATCTTTCGTCCCCATGATTAGTGCACTGTGATATATGATAGTAATTATTACTTGGCATCGAGCGTTCATTTTTTTTTTACTGGACACACCTGTGTTTTTTGCACGATTATATCTTTTGATTCTTTAAGTATATTTGCTCAGAAGGCAAACACTTTAAATTTTCTAAGACATGAAAAATTAAATGCCTCAGTGAAAAAGTATTCACTTTTCTGGGCAATCCCTGAAGGATCGCTTTGATCTATGAAGCCAATAATTTGATCAAAAAGTTCTTTTCCCCATTCCATGCAAATAATATTGTACTCCAGCAGCAGTACATGACCAAGAATTGTACTTAGCATTCTGAATTGATATCTACATTAGTAGTCGCAGAGACCTCGGCTGAATACAATTCAACAAGTAACCTTGTACTCTTACAATAGTACAACTAAAAGCATTATGAACTAATCCTTGCATTAGTAGTTGTTAAAAACACACCCAGCTGTTGTGAGAAACCATAATGCAAGTTTAATTGGTTCAATCGTAGTGCCTGAAGCACATGTCATAATTCAAATTAATATTCATACGCTCGGACGAGGGGGAGGTAGTAGATCTTATTGAGGTGGTCAAGGTAAACTATTTGGTTTTTTTTTATATTTGGATTATATGCATTTGTCAGACAATTTTAATTTATCTTGATTTTGCTTTAAACTCTTGTAAACCTATGTGGTTTTTATTCATATGTGTATATTTTAGAATTTTTCTGACCTAAAATACAACATGTTGCGATGAGTTTGAGATTTAAGGACCCAAATTCTTTTAAATTCTGGCATGAGCGATTGGGTCATCTTGGGCAAAATATGATTTGTCGGATTTCCTTAAATTAAATGGGGCATTCAAACCAAATCCGACTAACTGCATATCATAAAATTTCCCCCTTTATCTAATATGTGGTGAAGAAGCGAAACATTTCCCATCTGCGTGTTCTTTATTTGCAGTCCATGTTTCTATATCACCACCATAGCGTACCTCTATGGGACCTCGGTGAAGGTATATACATTATTTATGAAACTCCGTCAATAATTTAGTACCTATGGCCCATGTTAGGGGATCAATTTATAATTTAGTACGCTGACTGTATTTTTATTGAAGATCAATTCTCGACATTAGGGGGAGATTAGTGCCCAAAATACAAAATAATATCAAGAAATTCTATTGGTGAAAAAGATCTTCAATATTTATATCCACGTACTAGTCAAACTGAACCAGAAGTTCACATGATAATCTGCCAAGAAAAGAGTGACTAAGCCCCATATTCATGTTGAATATATCATTGATGATTTGGTATGCTAGAAGCATATTGTGCCAGAAGCATAAAACATGTTAGTGTAAAAGATAAAAGTCCGCGGCAAACTAAATTATATATAGAAAGACAGTCACTCCCATAACCTCTGGAACAGGCTTGTCCTGAAGATGAAATCTCCAGTAAATTATACGTGCACTTGATAATCACAATACTGGAGATGCGGAACGGCCAAATCCAATTGTTAAGGGAAATGACGAGGATTTGGTTGACATAAAATAAGAATTGAAGTGGCCACGAATTTGTGAAAAAGGAGAAATATATAATATAAATATAAAAGTTGTCGACAACATAGTTGCCTCTACAGTTGCTCTTACTATCTCCGAAAATAATCTGGATCCAGAACCTAAGTCAGCAGTAGAGTGCTTGAAGCATTCAGACTAGGTGAGATGGAAAGTGGCAATTAAGGCTGAGCTGAACTCGCTAAAGTATTTTGAACCTGTAGTTCATATATCCCTGCAGGATATATATGGGTCTTCGTAAGAAAAATAAATGAAATTGTAAGGTGGTGAGATATAAAGCGAGATTCATAGCTAAATGGGTTCACGCAGAGACCCAACATCGATTTAGATGTAAAATATTCTACTATTAGTGATTGTATTACGTTCCGCAAGTTAATACATATGGTAGAAACTATGAATTTATATATGCAGTATGAGTCATTAGACGCTAATATTTTTATATGAAAGTCCCCGATGGACTTAAAATTCCTGAATTGAGAGAAAACAAGAATCGCAACATGTATAGTATTAAATTATAAAGGTCGTTATACGACTTGAAACAGTCGGATAGAATGTGGTATAACCAACTGAGTGAGTGTTAGCCCTTATGTTTTGATGATGTTCTTACAACCACCATTATCGGTACTAATGGCTTATTGAGTGTAAATGTAGTAAAATCATTTGTCAAGCTCGTTAGTGCCATTAACGGAGGATGGATGGAATATACGCTAAAACGAAGACATCTAAAGGAGGAGGAGGCCAAAAAGATGAAGCAACGTTATTTCAAGAACAACAAAGTCATATAAAAGCTTCATCCGATTCAAGCTATATCAAAGCTCAAGTATTGCTTTCAATATGAGGATATTAGCCTTCTTTTGTTCTTCTCTCTAGTGCTAGAATGTAGGCAAAGAGTTACTGAGTTTACTTGAAGCTATTGGGAATCACACACACGTTTTTAGACTTGTGTCTTTTAAGCGTTTTTTCACAAAACACTATTTTTCACAAGTATGAGTACCTATCTGCAAAATTCTTTTTCCAAACAGTTTGTTTTTAGTATTAAAAACATTTTACAAAGTTTCAGAATTTTCAGAGGTCAAATGAATATCTTGCAAATATTTCAAGTTGGTCAAAAACCTGTTTTCTGGAAAATATCAGAAATCGGTCGACCGATCCTATGGCCATCCCTTAGTATCTTTCCAGATTGTCGTCGGTCGACCGATACGGTCGACCGAATTTTCAATCTTCAAATCGGTCGACCGTTCCGGTCGACCGAAGAGGCTCTGCTTGGTTTTCCAAATTTCTTTAGCTGTCAGCGGTCGACCGAATTTTTCGGTCGGTCGACCGATGGTATTTTCGGTCGACCGATTATTTCTTCGGTCAACCGATTTGGTCAGCCGCGATTTTTTAAAACGGTCGTTTTTTCGCCTCGACTCATGTGCTTTCACTTATTAGTGATTGGCAAAGTCTGAGGTCACAACCTGCAAAGTAGATTATCTTCCTAAATAGGAAGATTGGGTTTTTGTTTTTATTGATTTAAACTCTTTTATAAAAACCCCCAAGCCTGCTTCTTCTTCTCTAAGCCTAACGTTTGAAAGAGAACCAGAGAGCTCTGTTTCTTCCTGAGAAAATTTTCAAATCAAACTTGTTCTTCTGAGTTCTTGTGTGTGTTTCACTTCCCAGCTTCAGTACTCTTCTCTTTGCTATAGGGGCTTGTGTAAAGAGAGTGTCTTGCATTTATCTTCTGCTGCTGTGAGTGAGATCTTGTGTAGATCGACTGTGAAGGAGTGTGATCTGTGAGATCAACTGTGTAGTGAGAGAGAGATCTTGTGGGATCATTGTGTAGACGAAGTTCCGGCTTCCAAACCGGATGTGTTAGTGGATTTCTCCTCGAGAGTGGGGAGCGGGGACGTAGGTCAGCGGGCCGAACCTCGTTAACACATCGCGCGTCAAGGATAACGATTCCTAACTTTATCTCTTTCTTTATTATTGAACTTCTGTTACTGTGGTTTGTTTGTACTGTTTTTTAATTGCATATTAGAGCCTCTTGACCCTAATCACCCCCCCTCTAGGGTCCTTCAGTGAGTTCCTCCTGAAGAGGAGATATGCAAATAATGATGTCTGCCCTTGTGTGTTTATATATAGCTTTTATATTATACCGGTCTATATTGATGATATAAATGTTATTGGAATGCACAAGGACCTTACAGAAGCTAGCTCATGCCTAAAGATGGAGTTTGAAATGAAGGACTTAGGAAAAACCAAGTTTTGTCTTGGCCTGCAGATCGAGCATTTTCCCAGAAGGAATTTTTCTACACCAGTCAACCTACGTGAAAAAGGTTTTGTGCAGATCGAGCATTTTCCCAGAAGGAATTTTTCTACACCAGTCAACCTACGTGAAAAAGGTTTTGGAGAGATTTTATATGGATAAATCTCATCCACTTAGCACACCAATGGTCGTCCGGTCCCTCGAAGTGGATAAAGACCCATTTAGACCCAAAGATGATAATGAAGAAATGTTAGGGCCAGAAGTTCCCTATCTGAGCACCATTGGAGCACTTCTTTATCTCGCAAATTGCACCAGGCCTGATATTGCATTTGCGATGAACTTGCTAGCAAGGTATAGTGCTTATCCTACAAGGAGGCAATAGAATGTCGTTAAACATTTCCTTCGCTACCTTCAAGGTACAAAAGATCTTGGACTATTCTATAAAAGAAACCAAGATATGACATTGGTGGGCTATTAGGACGCTGGCTACATGTCTGATCCCCATAATGCCAGATCCCAGACTGGTTATGTTTTTCTCTGTGGTGGTACTGTCGTTTCTTAGAGGTCTGTTAAGCAGACCATGGTGACTACTTCTTCTAATCACTCAGAGATTATCGCTTTATATGAGACCTCACGAGAATGTGTATGATTAAGATCGTTGATGTAATGACCGTAAAATTTCGATACTAGTTAAAATAATTTTCTTGTATTTTAAATATTTAATTATTATTTTTAAAAGAGTATTTGTATTTTTCTCGATTTTCTAAAATTTTCTATGATTTAAAGTCTAAGTTTTATATTTATTTAAATGGTTTTTATATTTATAAATTAATCTAGTGCAATGAAAATTTCTGGGAATTATCCGTTGTGTTACTGATACTATTACGTATTATTTTAAATAATACGTCGTATTATTATTATTATTATGTATTAATTCTTGTATTACATTGAATTATTAATTACGTATTATTTGTGTAAATTATTGTATTATTGCGTATCAGCTGTCGTATTAGCATAACTGGTACGTTTTATCGTGTAGACAATTGTCACATAATTATTTGGTTTTAAATGTAAGTAAATATATTTTTATTATTAATTATTTCCGTTTAATTGTACAATACGGGTATATTTTCGACAGTTTTATATCAACTGTTGTATAAGCTCAAAATGTACGTTTTTATTTGTAGATAATTATTATGTAATTAGTTTAATTTTTAAGTATCCGAAATTATTTATTTTAATTATTTTCGTTTAAATACCTGAAACTATTTGAAAATACTCCCAGCTTTTTTTGCTCCCACGACAAACCCCAACAACCCCGTTCTCTCCCTCCG